ACTGGGGGTTCCCCCCTCTCCACTGTGGGGGGGGGTCCCCACCCCGTGGTGCCCCAGGTCCCGTCCCGACTGTTGCGCCGGGGGGGGGGGGGGGGCCGGGCCGGGGGCCGGGTCGGGGCGGTCCCCGGGGCTCCGTTAAAGCGGCGGCGGCCGCAGGCGCCGGCCCGAGGCGGCGGCAATGGGCAGCGAGGGGGAGCGCGGCCCGGGGCCGGGAGACCCCCGGGCGCTGCGGAGGGACTGCCTGCACCGGTGGGACCGGGAGCCGCGGGGCACGGGGATAAGGGGGGGGGCACTGGGAGGGGGTGCAGGCGATGAGGGAAGGACCTTAGGGGGTGAGGAGGGGACAGAGGCCGTGGGGGCCCCCATGTAATGCTGCCGGGTCGGGGAGGCAAACAGGGGGTCACCACCCCCCTTAGTGCCCCCCCTCCGGCTCCATTTCCAGCTCAAAAGCCCATTTTTCTGCTCCAGTAACTCACTTTGGGGCCCTTGTCCAGGGATGGGGGAGAAGGGGGGCCGGTCCCCATCCCCTCCTCATGCCACCTCCAGCCCTACCCTCCCCCCCGTAACCCTCCCATCGCCCCCAGGATCTTTGTGAACCGGAGCCTGGCGCTGGAGAAGATCAAATGCTTCGGCTTCGACATGGATTACACCTTGGCCAGTGGGTCTGGGGACCCTGGAGGGGGTGGGGTGGGGTGACCCCCCCCATCCCCTGCCCACACCCCCCATTGCCCCCATGTACAGTGTACAAGTCCCCCGACTACGAGGAGCTGGCCTTTGCGCTGCTGCTGCAGCACCTCGTGTCCATCGGGTACCCCCCCGAGATCCTCGCCTACAAATACGACCCCACCTTCCCCACACGGTGAGGGGTGCTCGAGGGGGTGAGTGTGGGGGGGGTGTCACGGGCGGGCCCCCCCCGCTGATGGGGTGTGCACGCAGGGGGCTGGTGTTTGATGCCCTGTATGGGAACCTGCTGAAGGTGGATTCCCACGGGAACCTGCTGGTCTGTGCCCATGGCTTCCGCTTCCTTAAGGGGTGAGTGAGGCTGGGAGCCCACAGGGATGGGGGTGCCGGGGGGCCCTTGGTGCAGGCTGCAGCTCCTTGCTCCCTCCCCAGGGCCGAAATCCTGCACTATTACCCCAACAAGTTCATCCAGAGGGATGACATGAAGCGCTTCCACATCCTCAACACCCTCTTCAACCTCACAGGTGAGTGAGGCACCCCCACCATGAGCCCCCCCACCACGGTGGGTGCTGCTACCCAGCCCCCATGCCCCTCCTCATCCCTTTCCCCCACAGAGGCCCATCTCTATGCCTGCCTCGTGGACTTCTTCACCAACTGCCCCAGATACATCAAGTAAGAAGGAGATGAGGGGGGGGGGAACCTGGTGTATTGGGAAGGGGTTGGGGGGCTCTCACTTGGAACAGCAGCCCCTTCACATTCTCCCCCCCCCCACCATTTTCCCAACCATTGCAGCTGCGACACTGGCTACAAGCACGGGAACCTCTTCATGTCCTTCCGCAGCATGTTCCAGGACGTGCGCGAGGCCATGGACCACGTCCACCTCTCGGTGAGGGCAGCAGCAGGGGGCCGGGGGGGGGGCTTTACTGGTGGAGGAGGTGCTGAGGGCCCTGGGGTGCGCCCCCACACCTGGGATGGTGTTTGCCAGACCCCCCCCCCCCATCCACGTCTCCTCTGCAGGGCTGCCTGAAGGAGAAGACTCTGGAGAACCTGGAGAAATACGTGGTGAAGGACGTGAGTGTCTGTGGATCCCCGCTTCCGGGGACCCCTCCCGGGTCCCCCTGTGCTGACTTGCCTCTCGCCAGCCCCGTGTACCGCTGCTGCTGAGCCGCATGAAGGAGGTGGGGAAGGTTTTCCTGGCCACCAACAGCGACTACAACTACACCGATGTGAGCGGGGGGGGCTCTGTGTGTGTGTGTGTCTGTGTGTGTCTGTGTGTCCCACCCTGGGGGTACAGCACAGGCTGGGGGCTGACAGGGGCACGATGCTGGGTGTCTCTGCAGGCCATTATGTCCTACCTGTTCAACTTCAGCGATGGGGACAAGGTGAGTCTGTCCTCCCCAGGAGGTGTAGGGCATTGTGGGGTGCCACACGCAGCCCCTTGCTGACACCCCCCTGCCAGGCTGGGACCGCACAGCGCCCCTGGAGATCCTATTTTGATCTGATCGTGGTGGACACCCGCAAACCACTCTTCTTTGCCGAGGGCACCGTCCTGCGCCAAGTCAACACGGTGGGGCCGCGGGGCAGGTCGGGGCACCGCAGGGTGGATTGACCCCAGGACGGGCACCAGTGACGGTTCCTGGGCTGCTGTTGTCTCGCAGGACACAGGGAAGCTGCGCATCGGGACATACACGGGCCCCCTCCAGCACTGTGCCGTCTACTCTGGCGGTGAGCAGGACTCCATGGGCAGTCCGGGGGGGATGCGCCTGCGCCAACGCCCTGATGCCTGGCTCTCGCAGGCTCCTCGGACATGGTGTGTGACCTGCTGGGCGTGAAGGGCAAGGAAATCCTCTACATGGGTGACCACATCTTTGGGGACATCCTCAAGTCCAAGAAGCGGCAGGGCTGGCGAACCTTCCTGGTGGTGCCCGAGCTGGCACGTGAGCTGCAGGTCTGGACGGAGAAGAGTGGTGAGCAGAGCTTGGGAGGACTGGGGAGGGGGGCTCGAGCCTCCTTCCCCCCCTGCCATGATGGCCAGACCAGCCCCAGTGGGACAAGCCCGTGTTGGTTGTGTCGGGCAGTGGGGATGCTGCCTGTGCTGAGCCGGCCCCATTGCGCTTGCAGAGCTGTTTGAGGAGCTGCGGAGCCTGGATCTATTCCTCGCGGAGCTGTACCAGTAAGTGGGCATGGGGCAGGCTGGGGGAAGCAGAAGGGGGGTGTGGGCACCCATGGGGGGGATCCCTCCAGCCGGGTCTGTCCCACTGCAGGCACTTGGACAGCGGCAGCAGCGAGCGCCCGGACATCAGCTCCATCAAGCGTCGGATCCAGGTGATGCCCGGGGACAGCGGCGCACTCCTGTACCCACCGCTGCCACGGCGCTGGGTGCCCTGATCCCGCTGCACCCGCAGAAAGTCACGCACGAGATGGACATGTGCTACGGGAAGATGGGCAGCCTCTTCCGCTGCGGCTCGCGCCAGACGCTCTTCGCCAGCCAGCTGATGCGCTACGCAGACCTCTACGCCGCCTCCTTCATCAACTTCCTCTACTACCCCTTCAGCTACCTCTTCCGGGCCCCCCCAGTCCTGGTGAGCCGCTCGCAGCCCCCCCCACTGCTCACCCACCGTGCCTCAGTTTCCCTGGGGGAGGCATTGGGTGGGCACCAAGCCCTTGGCTGCTGGGGGCCGGCCCCTCTCAAAGCCCCCCCCACACACACAGATGGCTCACGAGTCCACGGTGGAGCACGGCCGTGGGGATACGGGGGAAGCCAGCACGGCCCTGGCCCAGCACGGCCACCCCAGCCCGCAGGTGAGGCGCAGGGATGACGACATAGGATTCCCAGCACCGACACCCTGGTGCTGTGCCCACTGACCCCTCACGTTGGCCTCAGGTTGCTGCTGTCCCCCAGGACTCCAGCGGGGAGGAGGAGGATGATGGAGAAGCCTGAGCTCACCCCACACCAGCGGCTGCTGAGCTGCCGCCCCCAGGAAGGTCTTTGGTGGCCTTGGGCTGCCTGGGGCTCCTGCTCTCACTCGTGGCTTCCCGGGAGCCCCAGCTCCTCCCAGCATTGGGAGAGCCGCTGGGGGTGTCCCTGGACCCCCCTGCACCATCGGTGGTCGCTGCAGCACTGGGCTCTGGAGGCGACTGCTGCTCCCCAGGGTTCCCTTCCCCTGCCCTGGCCCTCCTCTCCCTCTGCCCTTTCCTATTTATAAGATACTCAAACTCTTGCACAAGGGAGATGTAGAATTGGCTGTTCTGAAGGAAAACGCAGGCAAGTGCAAGCCCCTGACTGAGGGTGGCAGCTTTGAGGGCAGTGCTGCCCACCAGCAGTGCCCTGCACCCCCTTGGGAGCCTCAGGCCGGAGCCAAGCCCGTGCTGGGACACCCTGATGCTGCTCCAAGGCTTTTCCCAGCATCAACGTTTCTCAATAAAGATGATGAGCCAATGCTGGTGGTGGCTAAAAGGAGGGGCTGAGGACAGAATCACTGCTTGCTGGAGACCAGGAGATGACATCAGGGCTCCCTTTCACCTCCTCAACACAGGGAAAATGGTGCCAGCCTCAGCAGCTGCCTGTGTCAGGGTGGGGGACAGCCCTTGGGGGTGGCTGGGGGCTGCTACGGGGCACTGCAAATGGGGCTGCACCCCCAGAGCGTGAGCAGCAGGTCATGGAGGGGACTCTGCTGTGCTCTGGGGAGGCCCCCCCCCCCCCGCAGCCCTGATCCAGCTCTGGGGCAGCAGCACAAGAGGGGCCTGGAGTTGTTGGAGCAAGGCCAGAGGAGGCCATGGAGCTGCTGCGAGGGCTGGAGCAGCTCTGCTCTGGAGCCAGGCTGAGAGAGCTGGGCTGGGGCAGCCTGGAGAAGAGAAGGCTCCTGAAGGGGAGACCTGAGAGCAGCTCCAGTGCCTGAAGGGGCTGCAGGAAAGCTGGAGAGGGGCCTGGGACAAGGGCCTGTAGGGCCAGGCCAAGGGGAATGGCTTTAACCTGCCAGAGGGGAGACTGAGATGAGCTCTTAGGCAGAAGCTCTTCCCTGGGAGGGTGCTGAGGCGCTGGCACAGGGTGCCCAGAGAAGCTGTGGCTGCCCCATCCCTGGCAGTGTTCAAGGCCAGGTTGGACACAGGGGCTTGGAGCAAGCTGCTCTGGTGGAAAGGGTCCCTGCCCGTGGCAGGGGTTGGAGCTGGAGGAGCTTTAAGGTCCCCTCACGCCAAACCAGTCTCTGAACCCAGGAGGTGCTCTTACAGCCAGACTGACATCCTACTGCAGGAAAAATCACAGCTAAGCAGCCACAGGCAGGCCCAGGGGACACCCCCCTGCCCCACCCCACATTGAATCCACACAGAGAGTTTATTTAGAACAGTGCTTATATATTTAAAACAGGCTTATCATGTACAACACATACATATTTACAGTTGACAGGCAACAAGAGGAGTCTGTGAAGTGCAGGGCAGCAAAAAGCCTGCACCCTGCTGGGAAGCCCTCAGCAGCTCTCAGGGGGGTACAAACTCAGCCCCTCCAGCTCCGCCACCTCCGGCAAAGCCTTGTTTTTCCGGAAGAAGAACTGGGTCTCCTCCTCCGCATCCAGGATTTCACTGAGGGACGACACCACAGGGTCATGGTCCCTCAGCAGCTCCGGGTAGCAGCTCCCAACCCGCTCTATGCGCGCTGAGCGTCGCACAGGTGTCAGGAATTTCAGCTCTGGGCCTTGCAGCAGCTCCTTTACTCTGCACAGAAGACAAGAGGCCTTTAGGTAAACCCTGAAGTGAGCACGGGCACACGGGTGTTTGCTGCCAGGAGCGGGCAGCTCAGCCTTACCTGGGTACAGAGGTAACCTGTAACTTGATTGAAGCAGGCAGGCTGGTCAGGGACCTGCCTGGCAGGCAGGGAGTCACTGCCACGTGCTGCCTCTTGCTTGGGCTCTTGGGCTCCTCAGGACTTGGCTGTGACTTTTCCCCTGACGGGAGAGGCAAACGGCAGCACAGTTGCAGAGAGGGTAGAACAGGGCAGCCGGGGAGGGAGCAGAACATGCTCCGGCCACAGCAAGGGCATCTCACTACAGAGTTATGCTGGGCCAGGCCCATCCCCAGCCCTGGCAGAGAAATCTCACCCCACTTTTCATATTGAAACTCTGGACTTTCACAACACTCAGTCTCCATCAGAGCTAAGGGTGCTGGGACAGAGTGCAAATTGTGCTGCTTCCCTGCCTGCAGCAACCAGGGAACCCCAGCCTGCCCATGCTCCAGTGGCCTCACATGCACACATTACCTTCTGGCATTTGGTCTGCAGTCTTCAGGATATTAAGGACAACTTCTCTGAGCTCCTGCAGCGGCTGCAGGGAAAGCAGAGTGTACGTCAAGGCAGGCCTGACTTGGTAATGGAGACCAGAGTTACAACCAAATAGGAGAAAAGCTTTTTGCTTCATCCATGCTGGAGACAGTGGCAAAAAGCTGCAGGATTCCCCTTCTCCAAGGGTGAGCTGTCAGCACACAGGCTCAGCCACAAACCCCACCACATGCTGCAGTTGTGCCACCCAGACCAGCACTGAGCTGCTGCCACATCACTTCCAGCTATAGCTCCAACACAGCACAGGGTGCATATGCTTCCTGCCCCCATTCCCACCTGCACAGACCCGCTGGCTGGGCTAAGTGAAGCCAAAGTGGGACCGGGAGCTCTAAAGGGCTTTTTCTCACAAGTGTCTGGTGCTGCTAAAGTCATCCCAGAATCCAACCTTGGGATCTGGAGGAAATGTGCTCCTGCAGGGAGCTATCGGAGAGATGCGCTTCACTTACCACAGCGCCAGCACAGACCGCAGCTCTGTACAGCCCTGCCGCATCAAAGGGGCCGCTCCGGGCGAGCAGTTTCGCTTTGCAGATCCAGAAGTTGGCAAATTTCTCTGCCTGGGGCACATGAGACAGCACCTCCAAGACCTCCTCGGTCTCAACACCCTGTGAGAAGGGAAAGGTCTCAGAGGTAAGCGTCAATTGCAAGGGCCGGTGGTGTGCACCAGGAAGCTGCCGGTGCACAACCACTCTCCCAGTGCTCGCTAGCGAAGGGAGGGTCTGAAGGGGCAGCTCTTCAATATGACTGTGGACATGTAATAATTTTCCTGCCTCAATTTTACCCTTTGTAAAGTTAGTCTGGTATTTCAGAGGGATAAGTTCCTCAGTGCTGGCACTAACAGAGTCACCAACCCCCAGAGCAGGGCTGGTGGTCAGTGCTCCCAGAGGTGATGCTGCACACTGGCTGTGATGTCCCCCAGGGACATGCCTCAAGCCGGCTCAGCCAGCCTGGGTTGCTGCTGCAGAAGCTCCTGCTGCAGAGTCCCCTGCCAGACACCAGCAGTGACACACACATGCCCCCCATGACCAGGTATCTTCCCCATCGCACTGCATGCCTTTGGCCCACCCATAACTCCTTGAGGACTTGAGATGTGACCGCTCTGGCAACTGCAGCCCCGCATGAACATTTGCTGTAACCCCCTCTGTGCTGTTGGGGGAACATGGCCCTACCCTCATCTCCCTGGAAGCTCCAGGGCAAGAGGAGCCCATCCAAGCAGCTTCTTTCCCATTCTCACCTCCTCAATGAGCTTCAAGCACTCAGTTAATACATCGTTGATCTTCTCCAAGCAATGCTTCTCCAGTTCCTCCTGCTTTTCTTTCTCCTTGACATTTCTGCAGGGCAGCTTCACTGCCTTTTTCTGGAGCAGCATCATAGGTGGCCGTTTGTACGTCTTGCCTTTGGATGCCAACCACTCTTCCAGCTGTTTCCTGTCAAAGGACCCAGGGATCACTGTCACCACTCCAGCAGACCACCAGCGCTTGCCAGGCTGCTGTTTTCCCTGGGAATCTACCTCTAGCCAACTTCAACAGCTTGGGGAGAACATTTATCCTCAGCAGGTCACAGACGAACCCAAGGCACCACTGAACCTCAAACCCACCCTCCTCTTTTCTGGGGCATCAGCCTCACAAGTTCACAAGTAAGGGGACTTCGGACCCCGTTTTCAGCAGATTGGTGCAGGTTCACCCAGTTAAACACTTCCAGGGGACAGCAGAGTTTAAAGAAAGGACAGAGCTGGCCAAAGCGGCTACTTACTTGCGATCTGCTGCTGACACGTTCTTGGGAACACGCCTTGCCTGTATGCCACTTGCCTCTGGCAACTCTCTCCTCCTAAAATTGCCTTCAGTTGCTTGAGTTTTGGAGCCCTGTGTGCTGCAAGGCTGGTTTTGGGGGGCTGTCACTTGGGATGCTGCTGCACATCTGGGAGGCACCACCTTCATGCCCCTCCTATCCACCTCCCCTTTAGCCAGGGACCTTTGCCACGGCACAGTGCCACCTGGCTTCAGGCTGGTGTTCAGGTTTGTGGAGCCTTGGGGCCTGCCAGAGGCCGGAGGCTTTGTGGGAGATCTTTTCATCTGAGGGGGTCTACTCTGGTGCTCAAGACTTCCCACTGGAAACGTGCAGCGCGGCGGCTTCTCTGTGGGCTGCCTTCCTTTAGGTAGCAAATGAGTAGATGCAGTGAGTGGCCAAGGGAACTGCAACGGCCGAGTTTTGGTACTTGGGTTTTGAGACATGCTCTTTGAGCCTAGCAGGGTTTTCCTGAATTTATCCTCAAATGGCTCTTCCTTAACCTGGCAGCTATTCATTCTGTCCTTTGGGCCCGTGACTGCTCTTGGCTTTATGGCTGAGCTTTGCCTGTGAGCCAAGTGTGTGGAGGCCTGTGCACACTCGTTTTCTTTGTTGCACACCAGCCTGTCCTCCAGACCCTCATTTGGAGAGCAAGCTGTCCCAGGAGAGGGGTGGCCCCTTCCAGTCAGAGGTGCTGCAGTGGGGTCAGTCTCCTGTGCAGGCTTCTTGGTCCTTTCTGGATTTAGGTGACCACAGTTTGCAGCTGGGAGCCTCACTCTGTTCTGTGCAGGGTGGCTCACGGGAAGCTTTGCACTCTTCCTTGGCTGCTCTGGATGTGCCACCACTGCTCTCTGGGACGTGCTTGAAGACTTCTGTGCAGCATGGCCAGCATGCCACTTGGGTTTGGCACCAACTTCACCATCACCCTTCCCCTTGTTTCCAGGAACATCCTTCTTGTTCCTGTCGACCTGGAGACAAGAAGTGAACCTCAGGTCAGTCCTGCCCCAGCCCTGCCAGCCCAGGGGTGACCAAGCACTTGTCAACAGAACAGGAACACAAGAGGCTGCAGACCCTGCTTGGGGTCAGGAACTCACAACCCTCATTTGGGGACCCTGTTTGGCCCAGACTCCCTTCAAGCACAAAACACAAAACCAGGCTCAAAAGATTTCTACTTACATGCTGCAGTTTAGACACTGGTTCTAAGGGAGGATTCAGGTGATTTGTCTGGTCCTTTAAAAAGGGTCTGTAGGAAGTCAAACAAATATCAGGCATTTAACAACTATGGCACAAAAATGCTGATTTCTCAGTCACAGGAGCTAGAAGAAGCTTTTGAAAACCAAAGAGCTATCAAGGAAGTACCATATTGTACCCAAAAAGCAGCACAAACCAGTCCTGCATCCACCTCTGGAGGCCTCAGTACAGGAAAGACATGGACCTGTTGGAGAGAGTCCAGACAAGGGCCACAAAAACGATCAGAAGGATGGAGCATCTCTCCTGTGAGGAAAGGCTGAGAAAGTTGGGATTGTTCAGTCTGGAGAAGGCTCCAGGGAGATGTTAATGCAGCCTCTCACCTCTTAAAAGAGGGCTTATAAGAAAGATAGGAAGAGACTTTTCAGCAGGGCCTGTTGTAACCAGACAAGGGGTGATGGGTTTAAACTAAAAGAGGGAAGATTCAGACTGGATGTGAGAAAGAAATTCTGTACGGTGAGGGTGGTAAAACACTGGCACAGGTTGCCCAGAGAGGTGGTGGATGCCCCATCCTGTATGTGGCTCTGGGCAACCTGATCTAGATGAAGCGCCTGCTCATTGCAGGGGTTGGACTAGATGACTTTTGAAGGTCCCCTCCAACCCAAACTATTCCATGATTCTATGACTGACACCCAAGGTTGCCACAAAACTTCTGGCTTTCACTGACAACACAAGCAAGCGCAACAGCTCCTGCAGGCAGTGGGCCTGCAGGTTTGGAGGCTCCCGCTGCTGCTGTCACGCTGCAGGTCACAGCAGCACCCCAGAGTTTAGTGTGTTGCAGCGAGCTGCAGCCCCACAGCTGCCCAGGCACTGGGAGCAGAGCAGGGAGGTGGGAGAGCAGTGCTGGCTGTCAGCTCCCCTCATTGTCCTCCCTGAAATGCAGCCAGTGGTGTGGTTCTCCCACCCCTTGCTCCGGGGCCTGCAGCTCAGCCACTAGGGAAGATTAATGCCTGTGCAGATTTTTTTCTGTAATGAAAGAGCCTGGAGAATTAGATGATTGTCCTCTATGCAAGTGGTGTACTAAGCCAGAATGAAAGATCATGAATCTTCTCTGCAAATTTCCATTATATTAGTGGTGTTTTCCAGAGCCCTGGTACCAGGGACTGTTTTGCTCTTTCTGGTCTCAGATCCCACTTCCCTTTATCTTCTCCCCCACTGAGAAAGTTTACAGCTTCCCCTGCACTACAATGCCATGAGGAATACTCACTGCAACAGGGAGTCTCTCAAGTGTTCAGGTTTGCCAAGCTCAGCAGGAAGGTGCCTCGCTGCCCTCACACAGGCTGGTTCCAGAAGAACCAAGCAGGGCAGAGCCAGGTGACTCCCTGAACACATGCTTGAGACTTTCTAAAAGCACTGAAAATGCCCCTTCCTAATGAAAGGGTCATTAAAAAGCAGCAGAGAGACATGAACCACCCTTTATTCAAGACCCAGCTACGAAGCTGAGCTGTTGGCACAAAGGCTGATGCTGCCAGACCCAAGCACTGGGATGAGAAAGTTTCACAGAGGCTCAGAAAATACCCGGAAAGGACAATATCCACCAGCAGGAAATGACAGCATTCATTCAACACTCAAACCATCCCTTTGCCTCTGCTGCCAGTAACTCCACAGAGCGCTGCTGGATGCCATGGGACCATCCCAGGCGCTGATCTGGCAGCGAGGCACAGGCAGGAGGTGTTCTTTGTACAGCAGTGAATCACTACAGGGAGAAGGCAGACCCTAGCAAGGCAGGAAAAAAAAACATCTAAACCTCAGAATCACGAAGTGCTTTCTGTGGAAAGGACCTTTACAGAACACCTCATCCAAGCCCAACGTCCTCCTGACTTACTTTGCGCTCGGGCATTTTGGCTTTCCTCTGGCTGCAACATAGTCCTGGAGCCGTCTCCTCTGCTCTTCTGCAAAGAGATGGTAGGAAATGCAGCGCACGCACAACAACCTCAGTGCTGGATCAGAATAAATGTGTTTTACACTCACAGCATTACTGTACTGCTCCCCACCTGAGCCTGGCGATGCTGCTTCCAGCACCCAGTGTTGCCCAAAGGCTCACTGGGACATGACCAGAGCTCTCCAGCCCTCGCAGCGTGATGCTTAAAACCTCAGTTGTGCGAGGCTTGGGCAACTTCCAAAAGGAAAGGGAAGATGCTACCGATGGCCCTGCTTCAGCTGCACATCCCATAAGCCTGTACCTGCTGTGGCCAAGCCCCCTGCTAGCACACAGTGGTGGGAAGCAAAAGCGTCTCAGTGTGTGTGTGTGTGTGGGGTGACAGGGGATACCTCTGACACCTCCGGCCTGGCTGCAGTACCGCCTGGCCTGGTTGAGGTCCAGCACTGGCCCATCCCCAGGGCCTTGCCCCTGACCCTGGGGCTGTGCAACGCTCATCTGACGGACAGAGCCTCTGCCCCCCAAGGCTTCCACAGAGCGACCCCTCTGCACCCCGCTGGGCCACCCAAGCCTCGGGACAGCCCCAGCCCAGGGCCAGTCGCGATGGCCCGAACCACCCCGCCCCTACCGCACAGAGCCCCGAGGCCGCCTCACACCAGCCCAGCCCCTGCTCCTGCTCCCCGCCACCTCCCACCGCTCCGGCCCCACCACGACCACCGAGCCGCTCACCCGGAGGAACCGTCCCAACCCGCTCCATGATGAACAGCCGCCACCAACCGCCGCGCGGCACTTATTGGAGAACGCCTTCTTCAAACCGACCTAAAGTTTCCACCAATCATGGTGCGCGGGGCGGGACGTGCTGAAGGCAGGTCCTGGTCGCGTTATGCCGTTGCCATGGCACGCCGTGCCCGACCGTGCCGTGCCCCAGCACATCCCACCTTGAATGCCGGAGCATTCCACACTACACCATGCCATGGAATGACATGCTAGGCCGTGTCATGCCACACCATGCTATGCTATGCCTCCTCGTGCCATGTCATGCCACATCATGCTATGCTATGCCATGCCTCCTTGTGCCATGCCATGTTATGCCAGACTATATTGTTATTAAACTCCGGGAAATAAACTCTCCAGCCAGAATCACAGAATCAATGGGGTTGGAAAAGACCTTCAAGATTATCAGCTCCAACCGTTCCTAGCACTGCCAAGGCCACCACTGACCCATGGCACTGCGGGTGTGTGAACACTTGCAGGGACGGTGACTGCAGCCCTGCCCTGGGCAGCCTGTTCCAATGCCTGAGCACCCTCTGGGGCAGGAATTGTTCCTCAGCTCCATCTAAACCTGCTCTGGGGCAGCTTGAGGCCGTTTCCTCTTGTCCCATTCCTTGTTCCTTGGGAGCAGAGCCCAGCCCCTCCTGGCTCCATCCTCCTCTCAGGCAGTTGTAGGGAGCGATCAGGTCCCCCCTGAGCCTTCTCTTCTCCATCTGACCCCCCCAGGTCCCTCAGCCCTTCCCCATCACCCCTGTGCTCCAGCTCTGGTGCCCTTCTCTGGCCCTGCTCCAGCCCCTCAATGTCTCGTAGTGAGGGGCCCAGAGCTGAACACAGGATTCGAGGTGCGGCCTCACCAGTGCCCAGTGCAGGGGCACAACCACTGCCCTGGCCCTGCTGCCGCACTGGTGCTGATCCAGGCCAGGATGCTGGGGACTTCTTGGCTGCCTGGGCACAAGGTGCTCGTGATCAGCTCCATCGATCAGCACCCCCAGGTCCTTTTCTATGAGCAGCTTTCCAGCCACTCTGCCCCAGTGAACAACAGGGTAGAAAACAACATGACTTTATTGCAGCACCGGGTGCTGGAGGATTTCTCTGCCTGTCTCACACACCCAGAAGAGACAGTTCACAGCTTATGTACCTTTGTTATATATGTACTTCTTATAATGCCCTGAAATGTCCACCCAATTCCCATTCCTCATGTTAATGAGAATGTGGGCAGACAAGGCCATGGCACAGGCACTGTGAATTTGAGGAGTGGCCCCTGGAGGTCATGGAATCCTTGTCTCTATATGCAGTGAATTACTAATTTAATTCAGTATCACTTCCACAAGAGGCTTTAACATGGCAGGACACACTATGCCACAGCATACTACAGGATGCCATGCAATGCTACACCATGTCACACCATGCTATGCCAGGCCATGCAGTGCCACACCACATCACACCATGCTATGCCAGGCCACATCACACCAGGACATGCCATGCCACACCACGTCCTGCAGTGCCGCAGCTGCAGTGGGAAACCCATCCAGCCACCCCCCGGCTGCAGGAAGATCCTGCTGGTGCCAGCCAAGCCCGCATGCTGTGGGGTGACGCCCACCCCCTAGGCATTGCACCCAGGCCTGGAGAGCCCAGAAAGCGGCTGAAACTGCAGGGTTTCTCCATCCATACACCACTCCCCACATGATTTCACCCCTGTGAGACATCAGTATGAAAAACCTTTTATTTCCACCTCCATTACCAACAAATTCCAGAGAACAAAACCCCAATATTTCCAATAAAATATACAATAAGTTAAAAGCAAGAAGTGTTACACAATAAATAAGAACAAAACCACTGGATATACACAATAAATAAGTACAAATGGGGGTGGGTTGGGCCAACAGGGCCCAGAGATGCTATTTCACCTGAAATAGATGGAGAGGATGGGGGCTCCCACTGGGATTTGTACTTGGTACATACGGCCTGAGAACCAGCGACTGCCAGTTGGGTTGGGTTGGGAGCGGTGGCTCCTCAGTGCCTGCTCAGCTCATAAGTGGCGATGTTGACCTGGTCGGGCTGGTTGGTGATGCTGACAGGCTGGCGGGGCTGCAGGGAGGTGCAGATGAACCAGCCAGGGAAGGCAGCCGACTCAAAGCGCGTGGTGCCCTCGGTTGGGCTGTCCAGGCGGTAGAAGATGAAGCGGGTCAGCTCCACACTCTCAATGTCCCTCCTGACATCAGCTTCCTACAACCGAGGGGTGAAATGGGATTCAGGGTGAGGTGGAGCCCCCAGACCCATCCAAAATGGTGCCAGCAGGACCCCCCCTGCTCACCTCGAGCTGCAGCACGGGCTCAGCACCGCTCATCACACACGACATGTAGAGTTGGTAGCCCTTGATGCCCAGTGCCACTGGCACCCGCCCAGTCCCTGGGCCACCCTGTGATGACTGAGGACGGTACAGAGCGATGTTGAGCTTCACTGCAGAAAGAAGGAATGAGTTAAAGGGTGATTCTGGAGCTGTGGGATGGCACCTCTGTGGTCCTGGAGACATTGGGTCTGTTTGGGGATGGGGACATTGGTCAGGACTGTGACCCCTTACCTTTCCGCCCAGCAGAGGGTCCCTGCAGGTGCAGGGCTACCAGCTGAGTGGGTGACTCCAGCACAAAGCACTTCTGGTCAATATCAAGGATGTCGAAGGACTGGGAGCGGGTGTAGCGATAGATGGGTGCTCCAGCGTAGCTGCCATTAATCCGCTGGAAGGAGACAGGCTCTGTGGGGAGGAAGACAGTCAGGGGGATGCTGATGATCCCCACTGCAAGAGCATCCCCCACCTGGGCTGACACCCTGACGTCACACTCATACCAAAAATATCATCCAGGAAGTCCCCAAGGTCACTGTCAGCAAACTCCTTGGCTGCTGGTTTGGTCACAGCTGCCACAAGGACAGCAGCCTGGCGAAAGGTCCTGGCAGGGTGGCCCTTGGTCACTGTCACCTGGATGCCCACCCCAGGCGATGCCATTTCCAAGTCCAGTTGGGGTTTCTGGGGAGGAAAGGGGATGTGGGGTGAGAGCCCAGCTTCTCCACACAGGGTTCTCACTGTTTCCACCACACCAGTGTTACCTTCTGCAGGCAGAGGCAGTCAGGGCCATAAAATGTCTCCTCATTCAGGCTAAAAGGCAAAGGGAGATGGTGAAGCCAGGGCCACCACGGCGGCATCACATGCCCCACATCCCCTCTGGCACGGCTATGCTTACCTGCTTCTCTCCAGTATGTCCAAATCGGGGACGAATGCCATCTCCACGGCTGATTGCAAAACCTGGGGAGAGACCTGCCGGTACCTGTTGAGTGCCGCAGCACCTGGCTGCCTGCTCCTGCCTGTGCTGCCTGTGGAGTCGCTTGGGTGCTCTGTGAGCCTGGTGTTGGTGTGGTGGGTTTTCAAGAGCCTCCGAAGGAAGTGCCGTCAGAGCGGGCTTTCCACCTTTCGCAATGCCTGGGTTTGCCCAGTTCCTCCAGAGAGACTGAGAGGTTCGGGGGGTGCCCCTGAGCAGCACTGTGGGGCTGAACATGGGGTTGTGTGCATGGAAGAATGGGGGGATGCTTTGGGGTTGGGGTATGGAGCAGAGAGCAGGGCTGATGCTCTGGGGCTGGTATGTGGGGCAGAGAACGGTTTCGTGTCAACGTCTGGGGCCAGTGCTTGTGTGCCAGCCCTCAGTGGATGGGCTGACCCAGCAGGGACTGCCCCAGCACCAGCCCCGTCCCCATCCCACTGTGATGACAACCACCCTCGTCAGGGCTGGAGCTGCACTGCCCCGGAAGGGGCCAGTGGCGCAAGTGCTGCAGCTCCACCATTTCCCCACGGCTGCCTCCTACGCTGCCTTGGCCCACAGCACCAGCAGGGCTCTCCCCATCGCCCCTCCTGTCCACACCACCCCCATACCAGGACCATGCTGACCCCTTGGTCCCTTGGGCCCACCTGTACTACATGGAGGCCACGGCCTTTGAGGACAGCGTGACTTTGGGGACACTCCTTGCCACCGCCTGGCAGCGCTCCCTGCTCTGCCACACATCCAGGCAGGGTGCTGGTGATTGCGCCACGCTGGATGTGCGTGGCTGGG